AGGCGGAGGTATTGGGAAACGTCACGTCCGGCGATGTCTACGCGCATGATGGAATGTGGAATTGCGAATCCCTCATATATGGGGACAGCGTGTGTCACACCATCACCAGCGTCCAGGACCACACCTGTGGTTCGGCCTGTGGCATATCTGTCAGACAGGAAACATGTTTTGCATGAGAGAGGGAATAGGAGGTGTGATATCAGGAATAATGAAATTCAAAGTGCTGAACTCACAAACTGAGCACGGCCTGCATGGAGATGAACAGCGCCGGCACGTTGAAGGTCTCAAAGAACACCTCTGCGGCCCGTTCACGATTTTTACAGGGGTTCAGCGGCGCTTCGGTCAACAGTACAGGATGCTGTGAGATATATAAAAAATATGAATGGTTAAGGGATAGTTCACCCAAAAATGAAAGTTACCCCATGATTTACTCACCCTCAAGCCATTCTATGTGTATACGACTTTCTTCTTTCAGACAAATACAATCAGAGTTATATTAAAGGGGGGGTACAATGCCGTTTCATACATTCAGAGTTGTTTACAATGTTTAAGAGTTGTATTCTCATGCTAAGCATGGACAAAGTTTCAAAAAACAATTTGGACGTATGACGGAGTATTTCTGTGCCAAAAATCGTACTTCCGAGTTCATACAAGTTTCGGAGAGTTTTTTTTTTTTTTTTTCAATCGTGGCTCTTCATGACGTAGACGAGGGTGGAACTCCTTATATGGGCATTTCTCCCGGAAGATCGCGCCCATGCACGCATTGACCAGAGTGAGAGCGAGATCGCACCCATCAGCGCGCTTCATCCGGCGGCAGCGCTACATGGGACTCGCTCGGGAAGAATGTCTCCAAAGAAGTGTGTTTTTGGTTGTAAGGGAAAGATAACTTTGTTCAGCTTCCTAAAGAACCCAGCGTTATGTAAACAGTGGATACAGTTTGTTTTTCCGGGGCAGCAATGGAGTTTCACAAGTGTGTTTGTTGACGAACGTTTTATAAACAATGCCCAGTTCGAAGCTGGATTTTCACATCGTTTGATACTGAAAGATGGAGCGGTCCCAGCTATAAAAGATCCCGGTCATGATTCAGAACTGCAGACGTTAAGTGAAATGGCATCAAATGTCTGTTTTGTTGGCATTCGGCGCCCAAGTGCTCGTCACTCTTTAGCTCCGCCCACGGCACGCCTTAGTTCACTCCAGAAGTAAAATTTCCTGATAATTTACTCACCCCATGTCATCCAAGATGTTCAAGTCTTTCTTTCTTCAGTCAAAAATAAATTAAGGTTTTTGAGGAAAACATTCCCGGATTTTTCTCCATATAATGGACTTCAATGGGGACCAATGGGTTGAAGGTCCAAATTGTGGTTAAAATATATAACCTTTTTTTTTTTTTTTAGAAAATGACCAATTGTTTCGCTAAATAAGACACTTATTCCTCAGCTGGGATCGTGTAGAGCCCTGCATTGAAACTGCAATTTGGACCTTCAACCCGTTGAAGTCCACTATATGGAGAAAAATCCGGGAATGTTTTCCTCAAAAACCTTAATTTCTTTTCGACTGAAGAAAGAAAGACATGAACATCTTGGATGACATGGGGGTGAGCAAATGATCAAGAAATTTTCATTCTGGAGTGAACTAATCCTTTTAAAAATGCCCTGGCTCTTCCAAGCTTTATAATGGCAGTGAATGGTGGTCGAGCTTTTGAAGCAAAATAAAGTGCATCCATCCATCATAAAAGTGCTCCACACGGCTCCGAAGGGTTAAAAATGGCCTTTCTGAAGTGAATCGATCCATTTGTGTATGAAAAATATCCATATTTAAATCTTTATATACCGTAATCTCAAGCTTCCGCTATCTGTCGTACGCGCGTTCATGAGAGTGGCGTTCCAGCAGATGACGTCGGACGTAGGCATAGCGTAATAAAATAAAAATAAATCCTAATTCAAAATAAATAATTAATATATAAATATATTTGTACATATATTATATACTATTACTATTTTATAAAATTTAAATCCGTACCTCCTCCGAGAAGGTCTGCAGCTGTTCCTTCGAATACACGTACTGCCAGATGCGCTCCATGTCATTCCAGTCCTTCACAATACCGTGTTCCATAGGATAGCGGACAGACAGCAGCCCCCTGTGCTCCTGCATATACCACAGAAATAAAGAATGCACTAGAGATGACCGAACACCTGAGAAGAGATGATGCCAACCCCTCAGACAACAATAAAAAACTACCAAATCTTGCTAGAAGTTTGATCGCAACATATAATCATTGCTGTTAATAGTGTTCACCGTCTGTTTGATTACATGACATTAACTAACTGTTCGATTTCTGCCATATGGACATCGACTTGAGATAAGCTAGTACTAAATATAATGTAAAAACTTTAATTTTCTGTAAAGCTGCTTTGCAATTATTTGCATCGTGAAAAGCGCTATACAAATAAACTTGAATTGAATTGAATAGATTAGAACATATGATGTTATGACATTAGAATAACACAAGGCAGTGTGAAGTCAAAACTATTTGTCCAAGTTATAATAACTTTTCTTTTCTGATAACATACATAAAATATTAATGACCAGTCACATCACGGGTTAAGTCAAGTCCCTGCCAATATTATTTCTGGCTGAATATTGTGGCAAGTTGACTGTGTTGTGAATGTCATATTGTCTTTAAATATAATCTTCAATTAAAATAAAAAGGTTTACCTCAGCTTTGGGTCCAATGAAGAGATCGCCCTCAAGGGCACCAGCCATCACCCGAACATGCTTGGGTCGCCCCACACTAGAAATAAAGCTTACCAGTTAATACCACATCACATTCACACTACAGTGCATTACTAAAATGTTTTCTTGTTTATTTCTGTTTGTGCAAACAAATGGCAGTATTTCTAAAAAACATAATGCTGATAATATGACAAATTTGATGATGTACACAGTATATATACACATACTGTATATAGTTTCACGCTACTGTTAAAAAAGTTTGGGGTTGGTAAGATTTTTTTAATGCTTCTGACATAAATAAGTCTCTTATTCTCTCCAAGGCTGCATTTCAGTGTCACGTGATCCTTTCAAAATCATACTAATATGCTGATTTATTGCTCAAACATTTTTACATATTATTATCAGTGTTAAAAAACAGTTCATATTTTTGTGGAAATCGTGATAACTGTTTTCAGGATTCTTTGATATATAGAGACTTCAAATGAACAGCATTTATTTAAAATAAAACTCTTTTGTAACATTAGACATATGTTTACTGCCACTTCGATCACTTTTAATGCACCCTTGCTGAATATAGTTAGTAATAAATAAATAAATTCTTACTGACCCCAAACTTTTGAAAGTTATCCTAATGCAGTAATATCAATTAAATGGTTACTTACTAATTTGGGAAACAGTATTTAGGGATCTGATCTCCAGCAAAGCCAGCCTTAATAACTCCAGACCCCTGTATTAGAAATTGTAAGACAAGTTAGAAATCACAATACACATCACGCAATTTTGCAGCGAGGTAGTTCAAAGTAAACTTGAACTATAAAAGCTCAAACTGTGAATGTGTTGTAAAATGAATAATCTATTGATCTGATCCCTCCTTGTTTGTTCTTGAGTCATGAGACAGAGCTGGAGGGAGCTAAAAGAAACCAACCAGCTACAGCCTCCAGAAGAGTCCCACTGTGAGAAAACACCATAATGTTTCACTAAACATCACTGACATTTACTAAGTTTTCATAATTTTAGTAACCTATCAAAGTGACACATTCAAGCTTTGAGATCTTCCACCTTCATTCAGATTACCGGTTCAGGTTTACTAGTTCTCCATCACTAGCTTCCCCATTTTGGCTTTTTTTTTCAATTAATTTCTAACTAATTATTTCATACTAATAAATGTGGCTGTATATATAAGGCGGGGGTCACATCCAGACATCTTAGCAACAATAATCATTTTGTATCTTGTATCTGACAGATGCTGTCTGACATCCATGCATCTTGCAGTATTTCATTAATATGAACAACGTGGAATCATTTCTTTAAAGTTTGAGTGATAAATTCAAAGCACCACTGAAATGAATGCCAAATTAGCTTTATGCCAATGCATCAAACTGAGCAGCTAATGCTTGAAGATATCGCAATTAAGACAGATGTCCTGTTGTCGTGCTTTACATAATGAAGTCAATCGGACGTGAAACTGTGCACATTACTATTTAAGTAAATGCAATCCTAAACACATCTTATTTAGCATTAGCCGGCTAGCGCAGACTTTGGCACAATAGCATTAGCTTTAGCCTTTTAGCACAGACTGGGTGTGGAGGGCTGCTGACATCATACTCACATTATCAATCACGACCGGCTGGTTTGCTATAATATCATACGACTCCATGTTCGGCCTGCTGCTTGAGTGCGTTTTTCGGTCAACGTTTTCGCAAGAAGCTGCGTTTATGATTTTCTGTTCATGTGAATAAAAAATAACCGTCGCTGCTTTGCAGTATAACCACAGGCTGAGCGGTGATGCGTCAACCGAACCGCACTATGGAGGGAGCCAATCAAACCCGCGTAACCAGGAGATGAGTGACAGCTCATTTAGCCAATACGAACACGTTTGGTTCGCAGGCGCATTTTGACAACTTAAAAACAATTGTTTATTTGTTTTTTTAAACTTTTTTGAAGGTGTGTAATTTTCTCTATTTATTTATATGTTATGTTAAAATATAATTGGACATATATGTCTTTAATAAATTGTTTTTGATTAGAAGCTAAATTATGGAGAGGACACGACTGTAGCAGCAGAGTGGATGCTTTATTTTTTTTTATATTTCAAAATCTTAAGATCAAAAATCATTAACAATTATCAAATACACTTTTACTTTTTAGTTTCATGCATGTATGCTCTTATAACAAGACATTAAGACAATAAATAAATACATCAAACGAAGCATTCTTGGACATTTGAGCAAGTTAGGGACATTTATTTTGACATACGGAAGTGGCTTATCCGGAAGTTGCTCTTCGTAAGGTTGTTGTTCTGTCCTCCGACAAAATTGAAAGTGTCAAATCAGCCGGAGACCTAAACTAAACGCGTATCAGAAACGTCTACATCTGCTAAACATCTTCAGGTGAGGATCTACATTTGAGTTCGGGTAACAATGTTGCCTGAATGACAAGTTTCGGTATGTTTATATCTGTTCAAACGTAAATAATAATGAGGTTTGGGGTTGTTTAGGTAGTTTAGTGCGAGTCATTCCGACTGAAAATAGTGTCAAATCTATACATAATTTCAATTTGTTAAGTTAGAAATGTTCTCTTACATGACATCCATACGTAACTTGAGCCTGATTAACTATTATTATAATATTAACATTCATTGTGCATCTTTAATACAAAGACAGACGTTAGAAGAATAAATATATAATTATGTTATGTATCATCTTATACTGTAGTGATACAAACAATTTTTAGTGATTTGTTTTGAAATCCTTGTAATATAATGGTGCTGATCACCATAATATAAGACCAAACATATTATGCATATTTATTTATGTTACTTACAGCGGAAGTGTTATTGAATGAATATGAGTTTTGTATTTAAGTATTGCATTCATGTGTTAATGGTCTGTATTAATAGGTGTTGCACATTGAGCCTGCTCTGGCTCACTCATGGTTGAGCTGGAGACCGTGGATCGAGCCTGACATAAGATGGCCAGTGTAGATGAACCTCCAGAGAAGTGAGTTAGCGGTGAATCACAGTACTAGTTAGTAGTACTCTTAGTTAAGTTCTCATGTGATCTGTTGTTCACCGACAGGCACTGCTGGGTGTGTTTTGCCACGGAGAAGGAGGATCGAGCTGCAGAATGGGTCAGCCCGTGCCGGTGTAAGGGCTGCACCAAGTGGATCCATCAGTCTTGCTTACAGCGCTGGCTGGACGAAAAACAGAAGGGAAACAGCGGAGGAGCCGTCAGCTGCCCGCAATGTAGCACAGAATACCAGATCGTTTTCCCCAAAATAGGTGAGTATTTGCACGTCACCTTTTTTTTGAAGGGAAACGTACTAATACCTTTTTCCACTTTTGTTGTGTATCTTGTCATGGATTCTCACTTTTTTTTAATGCACCAAATCAGTGCCTGTTTATTACATATTTTGGATAATTTGCTCCTGATAAGAGTGCAGTCCTTTCAGCTCTGTTTTTGCAGCAGTGTCGTTATTGTAACTAAAGCTAAAACTATTACAGATCATTTATATTGACTGAAATAAAGTTGAAATAAATTAAAATACAAAACTTAGATCAAATCTTGGCAACTAACGGGAATAAAAAAAAGTGTACGTTTAAAATGACTAAAAGTGCTAAAATTACTTAACATAAATTCAAGCTAAATACAAATATAAGAAAAGTCCAAAAACGAATAAAAAAAGATTTTAGAAAATTAAATGAAAATGAAAAATGTTGCTTTGGCAAGTAGCTAAATTTAATTGAAGTACTAAAATGATTCAAACTAAAACTGAAATAAAAATCAATCAAAACTAAATGGTAAAATTAAAAAGCAAAAACGAATAGAAATGCTTAAAAACCCCGAAAAAAATTGAAATGTTGCACTTGCAGGTAACTGAAATGAAATAAGTGCAAGTTAAAGTACTAAAATGAGTCAAACTAAAATCGAAATAACTTGAAGCTTAATAAAAATATAAAAAAACAAAATAAATAAATGCTAAAAACTTAAATCCTAGTAAGTAATAATAATATAAAAATAAAGAAATATACTTAAAAAAAATGTATATGCACTTCTGAATAAAAATATAAAGAAACCAAAAATGTATAAAAATGACAAAAGCACATAACAAAATTACTAAAATCTAAACTAAAATATCAGAATTCTAAAAGCTAATTCAAAACTATTATATAATACTATAATAGTGTATAAATAATAATAAACACTGTTTTCCTCAAAAACCTTAATTTCTTTTCGACTGAAGAAAGAAAGACATGAACATCTTGGATGACATGGGGGTGAGCAAATGATCAAGAAATTTTCATTCTGGAGTGAACTAATCCTTTTAAAAATGCCCTGGCTCTTCCAAGCTTTATAATGGCAGTGAATGGTGGTCGAGCTTTTGAAGCAAAATAAAGTGCATCCATCCATCATAAAAGTGCTCCACACGGCTCCGAAGGGTTAAAAATGGCCTTTCTGAAGTGAATCGATCCATTTGTGTATGAAAAATATCCATATTTAAATCTTTATATACCGTAATCTCAAGCTTCCGCTATCTGTCGTACGCGCGTTCATGAGAGTGGCGTTCCAGCAGATGACGTCGGACGTAGGCATAGCGTAATAAAATAAAAATAAATCCTAATTCAAAATAAATAATTAATATATAAATATATTTGTACATATATTATATACTATTACTATTTTATAAAATTTAAATCCGTACCTCCTCCGAGAAGGTCTGCAGCTGTTCCTTCGAATACACGTACTGCCAGATGCGCTCCATGTCATTCCAGTCCTTCACAATACCGTGTTCCATAGGATAGCGGACAGACAGCAGCCCCCTGTGCTCCTGCATATACCACAGAAATAAAGAATGCACTAGAGATGACCGAACACCTGAGAAGAGATGATGCCAACCCCTCAGACAACAATAAAAAACTACCAAATCTTGCTAGAAGTTTGATCGCAACATATAATCATTGCTGTTAATAGTGTTCACCGTCTGTTTGATTACATGACATTAACTAACTGTTCGATTTCTGCCATATGGACATCGACTTGAGATAAGCTATTACTAAATATAATGTAAAAACTTTAATTTTCTGTAAAGCTGCTTTGCAATTATTTGCATCGTGAAAAGCGCTATACAAATAAACTTGAATTGAATTGAATAGATTAGAACATATGATGTTATGACATTAGAATAACACAAGGCAGTGTGAAGTCAAAACTATTTGTCCAAGTTATAATAACTTTTCTTTTCTGATAACATACATAAAATATTAATGACCAGTCACATCACGGGTTAAGTCAAGTCCCTGCCAATATTATTTCTGGCTGAATATTGTGGCAAGTTGACTGTGTTGTGAATGTCATATTGTCTTTAAATATAATCTTCAATTAAAATAAAAAGGTTTACCTCAGCTTTGGGTCCAATGAAGAGATCGCCCTCAAGGGCACCAGCCATCACCCGAACATGCTTGGGTCGCCCCACACTAGAAATAAAGCTTACCAGTTAATACCACATCACATTCACACTACAGTGCATTACTAAAATGTTTTCTTGTTTATTTCTGTTTGTGCAAACAAGCAAACAAATTTCTAAAAAACATAATGCTGATAATATGACAAATTTGATGATGTACACAGTATATATACACATACTGTATTACTGTATACGCTACTGTTAAAAAAGTTTGGGGTTGGTAAGATTTTTTTAATGTTTCTGACATAAATAAGTCTCTTATTCTCTCCAAGGCTGCATTTCAGTGTCACGTGATCCTTTCAAAATCATACTAATATGCTGATTTATTGCTCAAACATTTTTACATATTATTATCAGTGTTAAAAAACAGTTCATATTTTTGTGGAAATCGTGATAACTGTTTTCAGGATTCTTTGATATATAGAGACTTCAAATGAACAGCATTTATTTAAAATAAAACTCTTTTGTAACATTAGACATATGTTTACTGCCACTTCGATCACTTTTAATGCACCCTTGCTGAATATAGTTAGTAATAAATAAATAAATTCTTACTGACCCCAAACTTTTGAAAGTTATCCTAATGCAGTAATATCAATTAAATGGTTACTTACTAATTTGGGAAACAGTATTTAGGGATCTGATCTCCAGCAAAGCCAGCCTTAATAACTCCAGACCCCTGTATTAGAAATTGTAAGACAAGTTAGAAATCACAATACACATCACGCAATTTTGCAGCGAGGTAGTTCAAAGTAAACTTGAACTATAAAAGCTCAAACTGTGAATGTGTTGTAAAATGAATAATCTATTGATCTGATCCCTCCTTGTTTGTTCTTGAGTCATGAGACAGAGCTGGAGGGAGCTAAAAGAAACCGTGCAAACAAATGGCAGTATTTCTAAAAAACATAATGCTGATAATATGACAAATTTGATGATGTACACAGTATATATACACATACTGTATATAGTTTCACGCTACTGTTAAAAAAGTTTGGGGTTGGTAAGATTTTTTTAATGCTTCTGACATAAATAAGTCTCTTATTCTCTCCAAGGCTGCATTTCAGTGTCACGTGATCCTTTCAAAATCATACTAATATGCTGATTTATTGCTCAAACATTTTTACATATTATTATCAGTGTTAAAAAACAGTTCATATTTTTGTGGAAATCGTGATAACTGTTTTCAGGATTCTTTGATATATAGAGACTTCAAATGAACAGCATTTATTTAAAATAAAACTCTTTTGTAACATTAGACATATGTTTACTGCCACTTCGATCACTTTTAATGCACCCTTGCTGAATATAGTTAGTAATAAATAAATAAATTCTTACTGACCCCAAACTTTTGAAAGTTATCCTAATGCAGTAATATCAATTAAATGGTTACTTACTAATTTGGGAAACAGTATTTAGGGATCTGATCTCCAGCAAAGCCAGCCTTAATAACTCCAGACCCCTGTATTAGAAATTGTAAGACAAGTTAGAAATCACAATACACATCACGCAATTTTGCAGCGAGGTAGTTCAAAGTAAACTTGAACTATAAAAGCTCAAACTGTGAATGTGTTGTAAAATGAATAATCTATTGATCTGATCCCTCCTTGTTTGTTCTTGAGTCATGAGACAGAGCTGGAGGGAGCTAAAAGAAACCAACCAGCTACAGCCTCCAGAAGAGTCCCACTGTGAGAAAACACCATAATGTTTCACTAAACATCACTGACATTTACTAAGTTTTCATAATTTTAGTAACCTATCAAAGTGACACATTCAAGCTTTGAGATCTTCCACCTTCATTCAGATTACCGGTTCAGGTTTACTAGTTCTCCATCACTAGCTTCCCCATTTTGGCTTTTTTTTTCAATTAATTTCTAACTAATTATTTCATACTAATAAATGTGGCTGTATATATAAGGCGGGGGTCACATCCAGACATCTTAGCAACAATAATCATTTTGTATCTTGTATCTGACAGATGCTGTCTGACATCCATGCATCTTGCAGTATTTCATTAATATGAACAACGTGGAATCATTTCTTTAAAGTTTGAGTGATAAATTCAAAGCACCACTGAAATGAATGCCAAATTAGCTTTATGCCAATGCATCAAACTGAGCAGCTAATGCTTGAAGATATCGCAATTAAGACAGATGTCCTGTTGTCGTGCTTTACATAATGAAGTCAATCGGACGTGAAACTGTGCACATTACTATTTAAGTAAATGCAATCCTAAACACATCTTATTTAGCATTAGCCGGCTAGCGCAGACTTTGGCACAATAGCATTAGCTTTAGCCTTTTAGCACAGACTGGGTGTGGAGGGCTGCTGACATCATACTCACATTATCAATCACGACCGGCTGGTTTGCTATAATATCATACGACTCCATGTTCGGCCTGCTGCTTGAGTGCGTTTTTCGGTCAACGTTTTCGCAAGAAGCTGCGTTTATGATTTTCTGTTCATGTGAATAAAAAATAACCGTCGCTGCTTTGCAGTATAACCACAGGCTGAGCGGTGATGCGTCAACCGAACCGCACTATGGAGGGAGCCAATCAAACCCGCGTAACCAGGAGATGAGTGACAGCTCATTTAGCCAATACGAACACGTTTGGTTCGCAGGCGCATTTTGACAACTTAAAAACAATTGTTTATTTGTTTTTTTAAACTTTTTTGAAGGTGTGTAATTTTCTCTATTTATTTATATGTTATGTTAAAATATAATTGGACATATATGTCTTTAATAAATTGTTTTTGATTAGAAGCTAAATTATGGAGAGGACACGACTGTAGCAGCAGAGTGGATGCTTTATTTTTTTTTATATTTCAAAATCTTAAGATCAAAAATCATTAACAATTATCAAATACACTTTTACTTTTTAGTTTCATGCATGTATGCTCTTATAACAAGACATTAAGACAATAAATAAATACATCAAACGAAGCATTCTTGGACATTTGAGCAAGTTAGGGACATTTATTTTGACATACGGAAGTGGCTTATCCGGAAGTTGCTCTTCGTAAGGTTGTTGTTCTGTCCTCCGACAAAATTGAAAGTGTCAAATCAGCCGGAGACCTAAACTAAACGCGTATCAGAAACGTCTACATCTGCTAAACATCTTCAGGTGAGGATCTACATTTGAGTTCGGGTAACAATGTTGCCTGAATGACAAGTTTCGGTATGTTTATATCTGTTCAAACGTAAATAATAATGAGGTTTGGGGTTGTTTAGGTAGTTTAGTGCGAGTCATTCCGACTGAAAATAGTGTCAAATCTATACATAATTTCAATTTGTTAAGTTAGAAATGTTCTCTTACATGACATCCATACGTAACTTGAGCCTGATTAACTATTATTATAATATTAACATTCATTGTGCATCTTTAATACAAAGACAGACGTTAGAAGAATAAATATATAATTATGTTATGTATCATCTTATACTGTAGTGATACAAACAATTTTTAGTGATTTGTTTTGAAATCCTTGTAATATAATGGTGCTGATCACCATAATATAAGACCAAACATATTATGCATATTTATTTATGTTACTTACAGCGGAAGTGTTATTGAATGAATATGAGTTTTGTATTTAAGTATTGCATTCATGTGTTAATGGTCTGTATTAATAGGTGTTGCACATTGAGCCTGCTCTGGCTCACTCATGGTTGAGCTGGAGACCGTGGATCGAGCCTGACATAAGATGGCCAGTGTAGATGAACCTCCAGAGAAGTGAGTTAGCGGTGAATCACAGTACTAGTTAGTAGTACTCTTAGTTAAGTTCTCATGTGATCTGTTGTTCACCGACAGGCACTGCTGGGTGTGTTTTGCCACGGAGAAGGAGGATCGAGCTGCAGAATGGGTCAGCCCGTGCCGGTGTAAGGGCTGCACCAAGTGGATCCATCAGTCTTGCTTACAGCGCTGGCTGGACGAAAAACAGAAGGGAAACAGCGGAGGAGCCGTCAGCTGCCCGCAATGTAGCACAGAATACCAGATCGTTTTCCCCAAAATAGGTGAGTATTTGCACGTCACCTTTTTTTTGAAGGGAAACGTACTAATACCTTTTTCCACTTTTGTTGTGTATCTTGTCATGGATTCTCACTTTTTTTTAATGCACCAAATCAGTGCCTGTTTATTACATATTTTGGATAATTTGCTCCTGATAAGAGTGCAGTCCTTTCAGCTCTGTTTTTGCAGCAGTGTCGTTATTGTAACTAAAGCTAAAACTATTACAGATCATTTATATTGACTGAAATAAAGTTGAAATAAATTAAAATACAAAACTTAGATCAAATCTTGGCAACTAACGGGAATAAAAAAAAGTGTACGTTTAAAATGACTAAAAGTGCTAAAATTACTTAACATAAATTCAAGCTAAATACAAATATAAGAAAAGTCCAAAAACGAATAAAAAAAGATTTTAGAAAATTAAATGAAAATGAAAAATGTTGCTTTGGCAAGTAGCTAAATTTAATTGAAGTACTAAAATGATTCAAACTAAAACTGAAATAAAAATCAATCAAAACTAAATGGTAAAATTAAAAAGCAAAAACGAATAGAAATGCTTAAAAACCCCGAAAAAAATTGAAATGTTGCACTTGCAGGTAACTGAAATGAAATAAGTGCAAGTTAAAGTACTAAAATGAGTCAAACTAAAATCGAAATAACTTGAAGCTTAATAAAAATATAAAAAAACAAAATAAATAAATGCTAAAAACTTAAATCCTAGTAAGTAATAATAATATAAAAATAAAGAAATATACTTAAAAAAAATGTATATGCACTTCTGAATAAAAATATAAAGAAACCAAAAATGTATAAAAATGACAAAAGCACATAACAAAATTACTAAAATCTAAACTAAAATATCAGAATTCTAAAAGCTAATTCAAAACTATTATATAATACTATAATAGTGTATAAATAATAATAAACACTGTTTTATAACATGATTTTGCTCGTGTTTTGAAGCTAAACGTTACCATTTAAAATGATCATGTTTTTGACAAATTAGCTCAGAAGATGTGACAAAGGTGCCCAGATTCTGCGGGGCCTTACTAATGCCAAATATTCTGACGTTCTGTTTGGCTGTTATTTTGTTGATTTAGTAGGGGAGTGTTAAGTGTGTCATTTTGTCTCTCCTCCAGGGCCTCTGGTGTACTTCCTTCAGCAGGTCGACAGAGCTCTGTCCAGGGCCAGTCCGTTCACCGCAGCTGGAGTCGTGGTGGGGACCGTCTATTGGTCGGCCGTTACTTACGGTGCTGTCACAGTTATGCAGGTGTGTTAAAGACAAGATGAGTGAAGCTCAGCTCTCCAGGGCTCTTTTGAACACGTTTTCTACTCTGTTTTCAGGTGGTGGGCCATAAGAAGGGTCTGGATGTGATGGAGCATGCGGATCCTCTCTTCCTGCTCATGGGTTTGCCCACCATCCCCGTCATGCTGGTACTGGGGAAGATGATTCGCTGGGAGGATTATGTTGTGCGGCTTTGGCAACGACACTCTTCTCTTGTTTATTTCTGTTTGTGCAAACAAATGGCAGTATTTCTAAAAAACATAATGCTGATAATATGACAAATTTGATGATGTACACAGTATATATACACATACTGTATATAGTTTCACGCTACTGTTAAAAAAGTTTGGGGTTGGTAAGATTTTTTTAATGCTTCTGACATAAATAAGTCTCTTATTCTCTCCAAGGCTGCATTTCAGTGTCACGTGATCCTTTCAAAATCATACTAATATGCTGATTTATTGCTCAAACATTTTTACATATTATTATCAGTGTTAAAAAACAGTTCATATTTTTGTGGAAATCGTGATAACTGTTTTCAGGATACTTTGATATATAGAGACTTCAAATGAACAGCATTTATTTAAAATAAAACTCTTTTGTAACATTAGACATTGTCACAGTTATGCAGGTGTGTTAAAGACAAGATGAGTGAAGCTCAGCTCTCCAGGGCTCTTTTGAACACGTTTTCTACTCTGTTTTCAGGTGGTGGGCCATAAGAAGGGTCTGGATGTGATGGAGCATGCGGATCCTCTCTTCCTGCTCATGGGTTTGCCCACCATCCCCGTCATGCTGGTACTGGGGAAGATGATTCGCTGGGAGGATTATGTTGTGCGGCTTTGGCAACGACACTCTTCTAAGCTTCAGATCTTCAGCGGGCTTGTACCTGGTATGTGGAAAACAGGGTTAAACTTAGCAATAGTTCATCCCAGTGTTGTTTTTGTTAACTAAATCTAAAACTATTAAAACATTTTTGTTTTCCATTTTCATTAATAAAAAAATCATTTTTAATAAAATAAAACTTTTTAATAAAACTAAACTTAAAAAACTTAACTATTAAACATTTTAATTATTACAAATTTTTAAATATTGCCTTGCCAACTTACTGAAATAAGTTAAAGTACTAAAATTACTTAAACTGAAATAAAAATAAAGCTAAATATATATTTTTTTAAAACACAAAAACTAATAATAACAAATGCATAATAAAAAATGGATACAACTTAAACTAAAATTAAAATAAAAAACAAAAACTAATAAATAGAAGCTAATAAAAATGAAAAAAGCACACAACAATCACTAAAACTAATAAATATTCAAATGTTTATTATACTGTAATAGTATATAAATTATCCTAAAACTAAAAATGAAAGCTAAATAAAAAGTTAATAAAACTAGTAAGAATGACATAAGCACATAACAAAATGACTAAAATTAAAAATTAGAATAAAGGCAAATTCATTGAAGTATTAAAATTACTAAAAATCATATGATGCTTTTTAAAAGATCATTATTTTGTGTGTTTTCCATTTTCATTAATAAAAAAATCATTTTTAATAAAATAAAACTTTTTAATAAAACTTCAAATAAAAAAACGTAACTATTAAACATTTTAATTATTACAAATTTTTAAATATTGCCTTGCCAACTTACTGAAATAAGTTAAAGTACTAAAATTACTTAAACTGAAATAAAAATAAAGCTAAATATAATTTTTTTTAAAACACAAAAACTAATAATAACAAATGCATAATAAAAAATGGATACAACTTAAACTAAAATTAAAATAAAAAACAAAAACTAATAAATAGAAGCTAATAAAAATGAAAAAAGCACACAACAATCACTAAAACTAATAAATATTCAAATGTTTATTATACTGTAATAGTATATAAATTATCCTAAAACTAAAAATGAAAGCTAAATAAAAAGTTAATAAAACTAATAAGAATGACAAAAGCACATAACAAAATGACTAAAATTAAAAATTAGAATAAAGGCAAATTCATTGAAGTATTAAAATTACTAAAAATGAAATGCAAATAAATTAAGCTAAATATAATTGTTTTTTAATAAAACAAAAACTAATGGAAATGACAAAAGCACATAACAAAATGACTAAAACTTCAACTAAAATTACAATGAAAACTGAAAAATTGAAAACAGAAGCTAATTTGTTGAAATACTAAAAATAAAGCTAAATATAAATGTAAAAAATTAAAAAGCACATACAAATGACTAAAATTACGATTAAAACTGATAATACAATATTAATATTGTTAAGTTAATTCTTTGAAGTACTAAAATGTTTAAAACTGAAATGAACATAAAGCTAAATATAACTGTTAAAAAAGTGACAATAGCACATGAATTAAAGCTTAAATTTAAAATGAAAACTGAACTAATGCAAAATATTAATGCTGTTTCTTCCAAAAATGTAAATTCTGACATTATTTATTCACCCTGTCATTCCATTTGATGTGTATAAATATGTGGTGGTGGATAGCTCATTTTTTGGATAAACCGTTCCTTTAAACCGTCTTAGTATTTATGATTCTTTATCATAATCATACCGTAATCTTATGCTAATAATAATAATAATAATAATAATAATATTAAATCGCATAATTTTTTTAAGCAAAAAAATATAATTTGTTTGTGCAGGTATGGGCCATCCTATACCCCGCATCCCAGTGGAGGGCAGTTACGGAGGAGACCATCTCTCTGTGTCTCGCACCCTTTGCGGCGCCCTCATCTTCCCCTCCATCGCCAACCTTGTGGGACGCCTCCTATTCCGCAGGGTCACGTCAAACCTGCAGCGCACCATCCTGGTGAGAGTCGAGAGCGGCGAGTGTCTACTATACAACCTGGAATTTCATTAGGAAGTGTGAATCCTAACCCACTTTTCCTCTTCTAGGGTGGCATTGCATTCGTGGTGATCAAGGGAGTGCTTAAAGTATATTTCAAACAGCAGCAGTACCTCATCCAGGCCAACAGACACATCCTGAATTACCCAGAGCCCGAGGGACGAGCAGATGCCACTTTTGAGGATGACAACGAAAACAGTGGCAATGAATGAAGATAATGCACTTGAGGAAATCAACAAATGCACTGTAGTATAGGATTCTCAGAATAAAGAGAGACATATTTACGGATGTATAAAGACATAATTTCTCAGCTTGACATGGCTCTAAATCAGCACAAACACATGTATGCTATGTGTTACTAAAATGCAAGGATGACTGAAATTCTTTTATCTGTGAGAAACGTTTGATGGGGTGTTAAAGTGCCTGTAATAGCTAAATACACCAGTAGATGGCGACAAATGCAAAGCTGGTAACTGCACTGTGCACTGATGTCTCTGATGAAGACATTGTCATTTAGGCTGCAAAGGTACCAGCAGAATCATGTAAGCATTTTGAGAATGAGTTAATTGATTCTGATTGAAGATAATAAGCAATGGCTATGTAATGACAAATAAAGGATGATAAACCCAAAAACGTTGACTTTAATGCTTTTAAGATGTAATTAAATCAAATAGAAAAAAAAATCTAGCCTAATTTGTCACCATCATGAGATTTTAGAAAATAATTTAACAATGCAACCAATCTTAATAGTCCTAAAATGTGATTATTTTCTTTATGTGTAATACTTATTTTTATCTTTTGATTTTGGGGTGAGTCTTGTGAAGTGAAAAGCTGTGTGCTTGAAATTAAACCATCAATGCGTTTTTAACTTCAAATCTTTGCTTCTGGCTACAGTATTTTTCACAACTTTTTCTCCAGTGAAAACGTCATCTCGTCTGAATCAGGAGAGAAATATGCACAGATAAAGCACTGTTTACAATTGAAAACAGTTCTAAAAAACATGTAGAATTTTGATGTGAGAGGACAACAAGAGATGGACTTTTTCACTGGAGGAAGTGTTAATATGGATTAAAGACTGGTATTTGTGTTTCGTACAAACACAACTTTTTGCTTCAGAAGATGGTAATTGTCTGACTGGCATCATGTGGATTACTTGTGGATTATTGTGATGTTGTTATCAGCAGTTTGGACTCTCATTGTGACGGCACCCATTCACTGCGAAGGATCCATTGGTGAGCGAGTGATGGAATGCTACATTTCTCCAAATCTGTTCCGATGAAGAAACAAACTCATCTACATCTTTGATGGCCTTCAGCGAATTTAAATTTTTGGGTGAACTATACCTTTAAGTAACGAGTAATTAAATAGAAGTGTTAAATATCTAGTTAGGTGACGGGCAGAATTGTCTCGCTCCCCTCCAGTGGGTTTGGCAGAGCCCTTCATCACCTGTTGTCAGCAGTGTTGCCAACTTAGCAATTTTGTTGCTAGATTTAGCAACTTTTCAGACTACCCTAGCAACTTTTTCTTCCAAAAGCACCTAGCAACAAATTTAGATATTTTTACAAATTTATTTGGCAACATTTAGCAAATTTTGAAAAGTGACTCAAACGATAAAAAAGGCACACATTTTCCATCTAAATTACACAAAAAGAGGAAACCAAAGGTGCCTAGCAGTACACAATTCACATGAATTAAGTTGGCTGCTATTAGCAATTGTTTAATTGAATAATAATAATAATTGAATAATTGCTCATTTTTGATACACCTTGTTAGTAGCTCGTACTTGAGATTGTTGATCAAGAAAAATATCTAGAAAAATGAAAAATGTAGTAATTTTCCAGGACATTATCCATAACCCGAAAACACAAAATACAATGCGTAATTTAAAATGTAGGTAAAAAAACATGTGAATAATAATTATGGAAAATTCCTTCATATTAATAGATTTTGCCCTATTTTTACAGACTTTTCTTAGAGTGTAGCTTACAAACTACTAATACACTGCTTAAATCTATAATTGTTCAGAATGAGTAGTTTTACTAGTTTACTAGCTAATAAAAATAAACTTAAATTGTAATTGTTAAAAAATGTGAAAGTGTTAAATAATTCAATGTTGTATTTAAAATGAGTTATTTATATTTTAATATTATATTATGCATTAATATTATTTTATAAACACATCTAAACTAACATATTTAAAAAACAAATTGTTGCTGAGATTTGATGCAGTGACACAATTTTGCATCGTGATTACGGAATGACGTCGCGTCATTTAGCAACTTTTAGCAACAAATCAATCTTCCTTTAGCAACTTCCCCTAAACATTAGTTGGCAACACTGGCTGTCAGCGAGTGGCATCACACCCTCTGTGCTCTCCGGCAGGCCCTTTGAAGGAATGCCAAAGACAATGCTGAGGAATAATCTGGCCCGCTTCTGATCTCTTATTTCTTTATTTCGAGAACGAGAGGGGGAAAAAACTATGAATAATGCAAAAGTTTGCAGATGGTTAACGGCTGGCTGGGAGAAAAGACAGCAGAGGGAGCGCAATCGGCTCACCCAAGATGACTTCATTTGGGTTTAAAAATACACCCCTGCTCAAAGCTGTAGAACTGGAATAGTGCTCAACTTAACTCACAAACCATCTAAAACAGTCCTCTGGGATTGTTGTCTCCCATTTTTAAAGATCTCTGGCAAATATAACCACGGGAGACAGGCTTTGTTGCAGCTGCCAAATGTACAACGTTTGTGACGCAGAAAATCCCACAATTCATCTGTCACTTACGGGATATAAACATCCGATGTAATACTACGCACAAACAAAAGTTTTCATTTGTACAGAAAGGTGTAAATAAATGCCTTGATTTTAAAGCATTTTGACCAAATATGAAATCAAAGGATTTGGATGGTTGAATCATATGCATTTACATATAAATGACATACAATGATTCATGTCACACCCTTAAAGCAACCCCCTTTTTTTTAGTGGTCTGTCTTGATGCTCCAGATGAAAAGAAATGTAGTTTGCGCAACGAAAAGTAATGAGCTAAGGAACATAAAAAGAGACAGTCCATTTGTAAGAATGGCAATAAAATAATGCTGCAATATCCAGCTGCTATGTAAAAAAAGATAAAAGGCAATTTCTGTGAAATATATAATTAGGCTGTGACTTTAGATTTACATCTTAAAGGGGTCATATGATGCGATTTCAATTTTTCCTTTCTCTTTGGAGTGTTACAAGCTCTTGGTGCATAAAGAAGATCTGTAAAGTTGCAAAGACTAAAGTCTCAAATCCAAAGAGATATTCTTTATAAAAGTTCAGAGTTAACCACGCCTACCTAAAACGGCTCGTTCTAACACGCCCCCCACATGTCTACGTCACGATGTGGGAAGATTTGCATAACGCCGCCCAAATGTTCACGCAAATGAAAGGCGAAATAACTTTTATTCTCGCTGTAGTATTGTTGCTGCCGCCATGTCGTGAAGACGCTGTGTGTTTCGTTATGAAAGCGAAACTACTTTGTTTGGTCTTCCAAAAGAGGACAATATCTGCTTTGTCATGCCTGGATAATGTGTTTTTTGAACCTTAAACCGCATAAACACATTTCATTACACCAAACACACCAAATAATTTTCTTTTTAGCAACATCATATGACCCCTTTAAGTAAAAAACAAATACAATCATAGATATGTTACTATACATACACTTTGTAGTACAGAAAATTGTATAGTGGAAACATATAAACAGCAGAACCTGAGAAAAAAAGCGTGTTATCTAACCAATGGCTTATTATAACTTTTATTATAACTCATAAATGGGTCATATTTGTTCTGTGGCACTTTTTGTAATCTGTAACTCTTAAATCATAAACATTCCCTAATTAAGTATTTCCATAAAAGAGTATATCGGTATTTCAGAACGAGGCACTGGTCAAGGTCAGACTCTTAAACTTTATGAATTATAATAAAAGAGTAATTTACACAACAGCAGAGTTAAACAGTTGAGTTTTACCGTTTTCGAATCCATTCAGCCGATCTCCGGGTCTGGTGGTAGCACTTTTAGCTTAGCTTAGCATAGATCATTGAATCTGATTAGACCGTTAGCATCTCGCTCAAAAATGACCTAAGAGTTTCTATATTTTTCCTATTTAAAACTTGACTCTTCTGTAGTTACATCGTGTACTAAGACTGACGGAAAATGAAAAGTTACGATATGGCTAGGAACTATACTCCGTAATAATCAAGGAACAGCAGGAGCAATGATATTACGCAGCGCCAGCGAGATGCTAACGGTCTAATCAGATTGCATGATCTATGCTAAGCTACAGCTAAAAGTGCTACCGCCAGACCCGGAGATCGGCTGAATGGATTCGAAAACGGTAAAACTCGACTGTTTAACTCTAGGGGAGTCGGAAAATGAGCCTATTTTCAAAAATAGTGGAGTGTTCCTTTAATAAATTCCTTTTGCCTGTTAAGAGTCTAAATGGATGGTTTAATGTTTCTTAACTGATAATATGATAAAATAATATGTTTCTTAACTGATAATATGATAAAATAATAATAATATAATTACAATAATATAATATAATAAACTATTTTCTATTGTGCCTTTAAAAAGTAGCATCTCAAAGTGCTTCACAAGAATAAGATTAAATAAAACATACAATTATACAATCAATGCATTAAAGAAAATGAGATACAAAAATAAAATACATGCTATCAAAAGATCAACAAAAAGATACATTTTCCATGCTAATTTCCATGTTAAAAATGGCATGGTCAATATTTCATCAATAAACCACATGAAAATCTGCTGAATAGCTAAGGTAATGGCCTCAAACATCAAAGACTCTCAAAATGTGCTTCATTTGCAAGTAAATCTGATTGCAGAAAGACTATAGGGGAGATTCTGTCATATCAAGCTGTACACATCAAAGCCACCAAGGCATCTTTAGATGACGTTTGAATAAATATAATGCAAGAGGGCCTCATTTTCGATTAGAGCAGCGCAGATAACCCAAGGCAATCCCTCTGGACAAACGATGATTATCCGTTTTCTATAATCTCAATGCTCTCCTTTGCTGGTGCGTCCCCTGAGGCTTTGGCCTACACATAAATGTACCGAACCAATGGAGGATTGTCTTCAAACACTTTACTTTCAGATATTGTTGGAGATGTGCTGGAAATCAATGGCAATTTAAAATAAGTGCATCTTATCAAGAATGAGAAAACAAGGTTAGGTAAAGAGCTTTTATCTGTGTGCCACACGTTTCAACTCCTCTAATAAGAAAACCGTGGCAGCAGTGAAAAGAAATGGGACACGTGAGACAACAAATCAAGCGACCTGAGAGTAGCAACACCTCTAAACAGAACTCCTTGACCTGGACTCCGTTCACGGAAGAATGGATGTGATTTCAGCACCTGGGATGTCATGTCACGGACAGCACACTGAAGAGCGGCATGATCTGGCGTAATGAAACCGCTCTCTGTGACAAAATGCAAGATGTCCTTTTGACCAATGAACTTCCATGACCTTTATATATTTTTTCCAGTTGTTTATGATTATAATGGTTTTTAAAAATGATTTTGCATGACACAATCTTTCAAGATATAAAAAATAAAAATAAAA